ATGTGTTGGTCTTCTTTCAATCATAGAGGTTTGCCTTATTTCCTGTTTCAGAGGCAGCTAACCTTAACCCATTTGTATATGTCTGACTTCATTACTAACACTCCTCTAGAAACATGAATTCACCATGATGAAAAATTTATTAATAAAGTTTTTTTTTGAGTGGACTATACTGGGGGAAAGATTGTCTCCATTCTAGGAGCATCCACTTGTAAACACCATAATAAATTCTGTCATTCTTGGTCCTCCCCTGGTGGCGCAGTGGTTGAGCACTGGGCTGCGAGGCTGCCCGCAGCCTCTGCAGTGCTGGTTTGTTCCCTGGCCGCTGGCGAGGGTCCCACAAAACAAACAAACAAACAAAAAAACAAACAAACAAAGAAATTCTGTCATTCTCTTATTATCTGAATAAAATTGTTCCCCCTCTTCCTATCTGTTGGCAAACAAATAAAAAAAGTTCTGCTGACTGAGTTGGGAAGGTAAGGGGTTTAGGAAGAATAAAATAGGCTGTTGAGTTTTCAGAATACCCATTAACTCATTATTCAAGGAATATCTACATAGTAACATTACCATGCAAAGTTAAACTGAAAAATCTCCTTCAAGAAACTTTTTCTACATACGCAAGCCACCAGAATACTGAACTTCAGTTGTTCTGAGCAGACAAAATGTAAGTAATTTTGAAATTTTTGAACTGAAAAAGTAGGGTTAGCATTTCTAAAACCATTAGGACTTCTCATTCAGACTATTTTCTTTCCTTGTTAAATGACAATGTTTACAGTTATTAGATGCATGGCTACACAAGCATCAGAATAATTCTGAATTTCTGGTGGAAGAGGTCAATAGTTAGTGGTATAGAGAGGGTCATTTAGTCTAAAAATGCTCTATATTGGGGTAACTTAAAGGATAGCGATCTGAGTTGAAAATATGAATATGTTGATCCAGTAAAGCTTGACCTGTTCTCATGTTTATTCAATGTACAACAGTAACTTTGGATTGAACTTTTCTGGTGATAAATCAAATGACTTTCTTACTCCTCTTCCTTTCCCTCTCTTTTCCTCCCACTCCCCCCTACAAAAATAAAGGGCCCTGCTAAAAACAGACTAAATTGTAAGTTCTGATCACATATGCTCATCAACTAATGTAATTACAGCATGTTCCAGAAACAGTCATTATCTTAGTCTTTTTCTCTCCAAAATCTTTCAATTTAATTTTACATATCTTTATTTTTCCTGGGAAAAGAACGCCACATCTTATAATGAAATTTAATGGGAAACTTGGCTTGACTAAGATGTACTTATTCCATAAGTTGGGCAGAAGTACTATAAACTCATAACAAAGGTAAAATTTCTGCTACAAGGGGTTGAAACAAAGCCAAAAGTCCCTAAATTTCTATGATATGTTTAAAACTACCGACATGCCTAGCCCAAAGCTATACTGTTAAACAGCTGTATATTTAGTTAAGAGGGGAACTTTCCAATAGGTTAGATTGGTGCCTCCTGGCTAGGAAACAAATACCAGTGTTATCCCAAACTTCTTCCAGGCTGAGAAAAAAGTATGTTAAAATAAATATACAATAAGCCTGTGGTAATGATGTAGCTGCAATTGTAGCATAGCAACATACATAAATACTCAGATTACCTAAATACTGCATATTATGTATTCATTGCAAATTAGTCTTAAATTATAGTATAATTAAAGTCCACTCCTTGATTGCTGAGGTTATGCTACATTTTCCAATGTTAACTATGAAATAGATACTGCAAATATGTATCAACTTTTGCTCTAATGAAAATAAGATGAATTTAAAATTGGGTATCAAAAAAATTAGCATCATTGTCCCTGAATAAATTATACAACAAATTATAGACACGATATTTTTCCTATACATGTAGCTGAGCTAATAATTCTGCTTTAAGACAAGAATATATTTCAGTTGTTATTATTCTAACGTAGTTCTTAAAAGATTATTGGTGCTAGATCATCCATAAATAAAAGCTAAGTGTGTCTTTTGAAAAGATGTTTACTTACAAGACCTTTAAATCTCATTAATTCTGGCCAAATCTGGTTAAGCAGTCCTTTTGCACTTTTCTAATTTAAATCATTTTTGACTCAAAAAGAACAAGAAGGACACTGTTAGGGCCTCCCCTGGTAGCGCGACGTTTGAGTGCTGGAATACAAAGCTGCCCACAGCCTCTGCAGCGCAGGTTCGATCCCTGGCCACTGGTGAGGGTGCCCTGCAGTGCCCGCTGCTCCCCTCAGCTGTGTATTTCATCAATCTGCCTGTTCTGTTCCCCGCTCTGGCCCTGCTGAATCCTCTCATCCTCCTGCGCTTCTAACTGTACCCAGTGCTTGTACAAATAAATAAATCTTGGGCCTCCCTGGTGGTGCAGCGGTTGAGTGCTGGGTTGCGAAGCTGCCCGCGGCCTCTGCAGCACTGGTTCGATCCCTGGCTGCTCCCCGGCCACCGGAGGAGGGTCCCACATGGCGCGCAGACCTCTCCTGCCGCCCGCTGCTCCCCTCAGCAGTGTACTTTGGTCCTTCTGCCTGCTCTGCTCCCTGCTCTGGCTCTGGTGAATTCTCTCACCCTCCCGCTCTTCTGACTGTACCCAATGCATGTATAAACAAACAAACAAACAAACAAACAAACAAATAAATAAATAATACATGCATCTTTAAAATAAATAAATAAATAAATCTTAAAAAAAAACTTAAAAAAAAAAGAAGGACACTGTTCTTGCACTTGAGGTATTTTCAGTGGAGGGGGAAGGCAAAGCCTACATACTTGGAAAAATTTTTAAAAAGCCTTCATGTGACAAGTACATAGGCAAAGTGGCAAATACATAAGCAAACTGATTTAAATAACAGCAACAGCATTGAAAGAGTGGAATTAATAAAGGAAGTCCATCAAGAGGTGAATATTAAGTTTTCAATTTTCAAATGGTGTAAAATTTAGCTTGGTGGGAAGTTAAAAGTACTTCATGGAATATTTTTATAGCAACCTAAACTTTTTGACCTTTTAAAAATATTTAAATAATTTTCACATGTTCCAAATTTAGGAAATGTGGTGTGATCTCACTCAGCAAAGATTTTTGTAAGAAAGTAACCCTGATAATAGAACAGTTGGGGACAGGAAGTCCAGGTACTTTTGATTCCATATGGATGGGGTGGGGGAATTATGGTTCAGTCCCAAGGGCCAGTCAGAGTTGAAAGAGGAAAGAGCACCCCAGTCCTTGCATGGATCCTGGCAATCTGGAAGTGGGAAGTCTGCCTTGGGAGATGTGGAAAGAAGTTACTAGAAGCAGGATCAAGGTTTAGAGATACATGAGGCAGATATCCTCAGTGGTATCCAAGCCTAGTTCAGGCCTCCTGTCTGAAGTGCAGTGAGACACTGGATATTGCTCTGTTAACAGGGACATTCAGAACTGCCATCTTTTTGACTATAATGCTCATGGACCATTATAGCCAAAAAGATTCATGCCTAAGAAAATGCTACTGTCACCATGTGGTAATCTAAGGCCCATTTCGCAGTGCAACTGGTCAAGCTGGAAAAGGAGTCAGGGGGCTGCTCAAAAGAGTCTTCCTTGGACACCATGCTAAGGAGGCTCCCCTTTACCTTTCGGCACCATCCCATGTATACGGAGGTCCCATCAGATGTAAAATCTTTCAGGAAGGGGTACTTTTTTCATTATTATATTTTATTAACTCAATATAGTCAAAGTATTTTCAGTTACAAATATAAAAAAAGAATTATCAATGAGACATGTTATATTCTTTATCACTCATATGAAGTCTTCAAAAATCTATGAATGAGTGGTGGTGGGTGCACTAGGGTGGTAATGTCTGATGGGAGTACCTCAGTATTACCTCAGTTAAAATTTAATCTTAAAAAGCTTTTTTTAAATTCAATTCTGCAAAGTGGCTTCACTTCTAAAACAAGCCAACTGAAAAATGAAAGGGCACCCACTTTGCATACCCTTTCTTGTTTGAGTGGGGACTGGATAGGGGGTAGGCAAAAGGTTCTTAGGCTAAGGGCAGATATGCAGTTTGGAGAAAAGTGGAAATATCCTGTGGCTAGACAGACAGGAAGTGGAGCAAACACTGTAACAAAGGCTGTGACACCCCAAAGGCAGTTGTGACAGTAGCTCTTTTCTGTGCATTCCAGATGCCATGTACAGCTAGACTTCACTCTGCTATCTGACCACAGGAGCCAGCATGGGCACTGGAGATAACTGACTCAGTTTGGCTTATGACTAGCTTATGAACTTACAGAATAGGGAATGATTACAGAAGAAAAAAAAAAAAAAAACAAGGTAAGGACACATGGTAAGCAAAGGCAGCAATGTGAAGAGCCTGATCTTGGGTGGTGGCGAAGGCAGTAACTTTAAGAACTCTTAACTGAGGCAAAATCTCTAAGTAACTTTAAGAACTCTTCTGATAGAACTTGGAACTGATTGCCTATGAGAACAGGAGGACAAAAATGAGTCAAGAATGATTCTGAAGATTTTGACCCAGGCAAGTAAGTGGACTTAAAGGAAAGTAAGTGGAAGAGCAGGTTTTTGAGAAAATAAACTTGGTTGTGATCATAAAAGTACTTTATTCATTAAAGAATAGTATTAACTCCCTTAAACCAAGATAACCCATATTTATTGAAAATGTGAATATATTAAAGAACACTTTGAATTGCAATTAAATTTTATTAAAATAAAACAGGTAAACTGAATTACAGATTGTTTTCAGCATAATATAGCATCATACATTCCTCCTGGTTAGATAAAACACAACAGTTCAAAAATCTAGAATAATAAATTTTATTACTGAAGATGTCCCTAGAGATCAGCAAACCCAAATGCATTTAATAGATGAGTACAAGAAGGATCAGAGAGGCTGGCATGCTATACTCTAGCAATGTTTAGGGCACTAGCCATGTGCCAGGCACTTATTTGGTGCTGGGCATATAAAAATAAACTGGACCTGTACTCAAGTAGCTCATAGCCAGGAACACTGTACCTGTACTCAAGTAGCTCATAGCCAGGAACACTGTACCTGTACTCAAGTAGCTCATAGCCAGGATGGTGGGTGGTAGTGTCCAGCAAGCAAGAAATTAACACACAGCCTAGCAAGTGTTGTGAGACTAACACGCTCAAGGACAAAGTGTACCCAATCCAGGCTCAGGAGCAACCCTCAGAAGGTCAGGTGTGAATTGACTTGGGAACGATGAGCAGAAGTCTTATAAAGAGGCTGTGAAAAATGCCCCAGGAATGCTGAGGTGAGGGGAAGCATAGTGCATTTAACTCGTCCAAGGAATTCAAGTATAAGGGAATTCTAGTCTTTGATTTTGGAGACAAGAGTATACCGACTCCCAGTTCAGTTTTGTTGTTAACATACTACCTGACTCTGCAGGCCTGCTGACAAGTATATGATGATTAAACACATTTAGATTAATACTTTTGCATAGAATAAAGGAAGTATACAAGGCTTGCACTTACCCAGGCATAGACATTAAGATTCCCCAAACCCTCCTATATATCTCTTTAGAGAAATACAGATATTTTCATTATAGCTTTTTTTCCTTCCCAAATGTTTACATAAGTTGGGTCATGGCATAAAGCTCTTAGGGTCTGGAAGAGATTTGAGGGTTTACTTTGTTAGTGGCCAAGGGAGTGCAGGGCAAGCAGGGGGAGAGGGAATGCTGGTGGGAGAAGGAAGTGGGTATATTTGCCACCCTGGTACAGGCAATAAAGCAGTCATTGTAGAGATCTTAAAAATTAATAATAAAACTGGCCAAAATATTCTGCTTTTCATTACCACTCTGTACCAACAATCCAGTGAGGCTCAGTCATATCAGTAATGAAATATTCCTCCCTGCCTAGGCAAACTCCTGCTGCTGACCCTTATCCCTGTGAGTGCCACTGCACATAGTATACACTCTCACACACACACAAACAGGGTGTAAAAACATCTGAAGTTCCCATGTCAGCTACCTCTCCAATTCACATTACTACTTAGTCTCCATTCTGTTCCTTTTTTGTAAATATAACTTCAGTAGTCAATATATATATATATATATATATATATATACAAGAAAAATATTTATTTTCCTAAAATTACAATATTTATCTCCATTGAACATTCTCAAATCCCATTTGAGCTGGGACTGCTGGCACCTGAAGTCTGAGGCCTCTCACCAGAAGTAGTCCTCGCTGGTGTTCTCTGGTTGGGCTATCTGGCATGTGCTTGGGGGGTTAAACACTGTGGGGTCTTTAATACCCAGCTCTATGTCAAAAAACCTTGTAGAAAATATCACACTGAAATTTTTGGTGAAGGTTTCCTGGACAGGATAACAATCCTTGACTGTATATATGCCAATCCAGGTTTCATCTGTAAGAGGAAGGAAAGTTGACTTTTTAATGTAGAAGAAAGGCAAAACTGCATATATTTTTCATTGTGGTAAAATATACATAACATTTACCATGTGAGTCATTTTTAAGTACAGCTCAGTAATGAAGCATATTCATATCACCATAAATCTCCAGAATCTTTTCATCTGCCCTAATTGATACTCTGTGCCTATTAAACACTAAATTCCCATTTCCCCCATGCCAGCCCCTGACACTTACTCCTGGTCTCTATGAACCTGACTACTCTAAGTACCTTGTAGAAGAGGAATTTTACAGTATTTGTCTTTTAGTGACTGATTTATTTCACTTAGCATAATGTCTTCAAGGTTCATCCATTTTGTAATTTATCAGAATTCCCTTCCCTTTTAAGGTCTAATGATGGTATACATCACATTTTGAGTATCCATTTAGCTACTGATGAACGTTTGGGTTGTTACCACTTTCTTACTACTACAAATAATGCTGTTATAAACACAGATGTACAAATATCCACATGAGTTCTTATTTTCAATTCTTTTGCCATGTGGAATCATGTGGTCATATGTTGATTCTATGCTTAATTTTTTGGGAAATGCCACTTCATAAAGGCCTGTATTTTTTAAACAGCTTTGGGGTAGGCATATTGCAGCTAAGCAGAGAAGAGCTTCCCCTCTATGTATAAAAGCAGATACTCAAAATAATAGGAGAAGATTTGGTCACTGGGACTTTCAGACACCTGAAAAATGCCTTAGACAAATGCTCCCCCATCACAGACTGTTAGCTGGTAAAGGTGGCATCAGAAGGTTGAGGTGTGTCAAATGCGATGCCCTGATCCTGGCACTGCCCAGCTAGCAGAGTACACTGTGTACTCAGGGAGGAGCTTAAAAAATTTGATTAAACTTAACAAATTTCCCCAGGAACTAATTAACTAACTTCCTTAATAGACTTAAATGTTTCCCTCACCCCCACCCCTCATGCTCTCTGAGTTGCAACACTTGACTATTTTTTTGAAACTTACATGATCTAGCTGACTTTCTGTCGGACCACTCCTGGACGCTGATCTGCTCCTGGGGTCCCCCTATGGAGTATTGGTCCTCAAAAGTGGAGTTTTGAGGAATATCTAGAGGGTCCCAGGGGTCTGTGAGGGTGAACTTGGAGCACTGCTTGGTGGCCTGTTCAATCCGAAACATCACTCCATCCTTAAAGAGCAAAATATATTCGAATAATCTGAAGATTAAAAAAGGACAGTTCAGTGCTTTATGTTATACTCCTCATGCCTTTTATCAGCAATAAAGACCTTTGCTATGCAATGCTCTTAACATAGTTAAAAAATACAGTTTGGCTTGCTAGACAATCATTCCTTTATTTAAAACCCCCAGAAATGGGAACAACCGTAATATAAAATAATTAGAATTCAGAGGTCTCAATTAGTATTCACAGGACAATGATTTATGGATTATCTATATATAAGCAACACTGTGCTTGGGATACAAGGTGGGTAAGACAGGATTCTGTGTAGACAGTTGCTTTGTGGTTATCATTTAGAGTCTGACCCTTAGTTTGGTTTAATTCTTGTAGCACTAAGTCAAGGAATTATGGGGTATTCTGAGGCTGTAACAGGCAGCTCTACCCGGTTGCCTTCACTATTAGTCACAAACAAAGGACTTTGGTGAGACACAGCTACTCTGAGAATGGAGGTCCCCCACATACTGGGAGGAGGTGGAGACAAATAAGCATGAAAGCTGCAGATGGTTTCCCTAAAATGAGTGTGCCCACATGCTCTCAGCCTTATCTCCTGTGCCCATGTGCACAACCCCCCTGTGTGGAGAGAGCTCCTGTGGCCCTGGACTGGATGGAGAATCAGCCCCTACTCTGCTTCACTTTGCATACCCCGTTATTTCTGCTCCTGTATCATTCTTAAAGTTTAACCATTCTGGTGTTGACTGAAGCCCTTTGAGTTTCTATGCTTTTAAGTGGCAATCCAAAGATTCAACCTGCTGCTAGTTGAGCAAAGTGAGACTGCAGGCTTAACTTTTTTTTTTTAAGATTTATTTATTTATTTATACATGCAGGAGCTGGGGTATAGGCCAGAGTTGTGGGGGGTAAGAGGATTCACCAGAGACAGAGTGGGGAACAGAATAGGCAGATCGACTGAAATACACTGCTGTATTTCAGCAGGTGACACAGGAGAGGTCTACTGCGCCATGTGGGTAGCTCCTTGGCTGGGGATTGAACTCGTGCTGCAGTGGCTGTGGCTAGCTTCATAGGTTGTGTCTTAACCCCTTGCGCCACCAGGGAGACCCTGCAGGCTTAACTTTTAAAAGAAATTTGCAATATATTAGGTCAGAAGGGCCTAGAGAGGCCACTTTTCATGAGTAAATAAAGAGCCAATAAATTATCTGGGTATGTGACGCTCACTGCACCCTATCGCCCTCACAGACAGGGCCTGTTCTTTATCTCAAGTCTATGCTTAAAAATTATTTTCTTCATTAAAAATATTATAAATGGTAAGTGTCATTACTGTCAAAACAGTATCACTATTAGTATTCTGCTTCAGTTTTCAATGAGCTGGTATAGGAATACAAGTGTGACCTCATTTTATATATTTAGCTATATCTACCCTGCAATTGCAGGAAATATTTAAAATGACCTACAATGGTAAAACCCAATCACAGACCTTTAGAAGTACGAGTGAATATAAAAAGAAAAGGAAGTGTTCATTTTATGAGATATTGCTAAAAAAATAATGGAGCTGACCTCTTATAATACACATGCAGGGTTCATATAAAACTATGTCTTTTGAAGGAGTTTGGGGTTAGACTGTCACTATTTCCTCATGCCCAGTTAAGTCCTTGACACATCAGATTCTAAAAATTTATGGAAGGAATACAGAAACATTAGCATTAATATTATAGTGTAGTCCATTCTTAAATCCAGGAATCTTTGTCCCTGTACAAATTCTGTTCAGTGATCCTTTAGAGAAATACCTATACTGATGCCTTCAGAAGTAGCTATCATCATTATCTTCTCTTTACCATTATCTTCTTGTACTTTACCAAATTCTAGGTACCTAGTCTAGAGAACAATTCCTAGCTATTGCTGAAACTCCAGTTATCTGTTTCTCAAACTGCAATGACTGTCCCCTGGGAGATTGCAGTGATGTGAGAAGGGAGTTTCCTTTTGGAAAACAATCCTCAACCTCCAAATCTACAGGATCACAGATGTGAGAGCTTGACAGCCATGTTTGTGTAGATGACCTGGTCACCCTCTGCTGGACCCCAAGTGGACATGCGACCCAGGACAGGACAATCAACCCCCCCTCACTTATGCAGCATTGCCAAGCAAGCTCTGCTAAGTCTCTTTGTGAGGGTGAACATGTCATACGTAAACACAGAAGCCAAAGGAGGCTATTTTCCAACACGAAACAAGAGTAAGGGTAGAAAATGAAGCAGAGAGAAGCACTAGTGAGCTGGGATTTCAAACAGCTGTTCCTCTCCTGGATGCATCTCTTTTTCTGAGCCCATGCCTGGATATTCCCCTGCCAGGCTATTATGTTTTCTTTGTTCTAACATTCCTTTTTCTGCTTAAAACTTTTTGTGTGACTCATACCAGAACTTTTTTTCTAATATAGTTGAAGACTCTGTTTTCCTATCTAGAGTCCAAGGTTACAGCTGCCAGCACAGCTGTTCTGGGAGAGGCAGTGCTTGGTCCCTTGCAGAAGCCACAGCCGTGGACACCCTTGAAGGAGACAGCAGGAAAGAACCTTGGCTATTTCTCTGTTTTCCTGAGGTCAGCTCTACCCACATAGGAAAGTAAAATTGAACTTTAGAATGGAATTTTAAACTTGAAATTTAAAAAATTTCATCACAAAATTTTAACAGTTGTTAAATCTGAGTGATCTGAACAAAGGAGTTTGCTATGGTATTCTCTGTACTTTTCTAAGTTTTCAAAACATTTAACGTTTAAAAAATGGGGCATATGTGATATTCAAATTATACTGACAGTGCCTTAAGTTAAACCAAACATTGACTTGATGGAAAATCAAATACAATCCTAGAGTTCATTTTTTTCCTATGAAAAATGGATATAAATGCAAGTACTGCTCCATACCAAGTTTTAAAAAAGAAGAGTCTTATAATGCCATAGAGGCTTGAATGTTTATGCAAGCATATTCACAGTTAAGATGTAGGCTCTGCATTGCAAATAGGATACAGACGGAAGGTTGACATACAAAGAGCAGCCAGGGTTGAAATGAGTCATCTGCCTGGGATGCTGTGTGGGTAAAAATCCATAGACATGAAAGACTGATGGACTTGAGCAGAAACTGAATCCCCAGAGGTGAGATCAAAGTCTGGCTCTGCAGTTGTGAGGACAGGAGTCACATACTATACCCCTGGGGTGCAGTCAAGCAACACAAGTGCTGGAATGGGAGGCAGGACAAGATAGGCAGGTCAGCCCTAGGTGAAAACAGCCTGCTAACTTCACCTCTTTGCTGGCCAGACACCAAACTAACCATACTTCTCAGGAGGGTCCCCTAACTGGGCTTTAGCTAGGAGCCAACTCAGGCTCACCAGGTCCTGTCAAGGGGTGAGCAAGCAACCTTTCTGCATAGCAACTTCAGTCACTTCACAGGAAGTGCCTAGCACATTGTTTTGCCTCTAACAAAGGAACAGAGGTTTTTGTTGCTTTTGACCAAATTCTCAGGCCTCAGTGACTATTTCTATTGCTTCTGGAAAATCTACTTTAAAAAAAAAATAGAATCTTTCATCGCCAGGTTTTCCAAAACACTAAAAACCTACAGAAATTTTCTTTCTTTTGAAAATAGAACCCTGGTTTTTATAAAAAGGATTCATTTCATTCAGTGTAAAAAAAATGCAAATGACACAGAAATGGAAATGGAAAAACTGCCCAGAAACTAACTTATAGAAATAACAAATCCGCGCATGTATATCTAAATATAATTTTTTTATTTTAATTTTTTTTTACTCACGCAATTTCTTTGGAGGTAGCACTGGTTTACAATATTTATATGATTTAGGGGTATAGGTTTACCACTCTTCAGATATATATTACCACACCCACCACCTAAGCATCAGTAATCCTGGAGCAATCCATTGGGTCTCCTCCTTGCTTTGTTCCCCACTTGTCCCCTCTGGTAGCTTCAATTCTGCAGTCAGATTTCTAGATTTTATTATAGGTAAGCTTTGTCTATTCCTTTCCTTTGTTTCTTTGTATTTCACATGTGAGTAAAATCATCTAGTATTTATCCTTCTGCCTTTCTGACTAATTTCACTTATCATAATGCCTTCCAGTTCTATCCATGTTGTTGTAAATGGCAAAAGATCATCTTTTTTTATAGTTGAGTAGTATCCCACTGTATGTACATACCACATCTTCTTAATCTACTCACCTGTTATTGGACACTTAGATTATATTCATAGTTTGGTCACTGTAAATAGTGCTACAATGAATAGAGGAGTGCATCTATCCCTTCAAATTAGTGTTTATATATTTCTTGATAGCTACCTGAGGATGAAATCTCTGGATCACCTGGTAGGTCTACTTTTAATATTTTTAGTATTCTCTATATTCTTTTCTAAAAGGGTTGGACCAGTTTACACTCCTACCAATAGTATGAGGGTTCCTTTTTCTCCACATCCTTGTCAATACTTGTTGTTTCTAATCTTTGTGATATGGGCCGTTCTCACAGATGTGAGCTGGTATCTCATTGTGGTTTTAACTTGTATTTCCATAATAATAAGTGATGATGAGCATGAGTGCTAAGTACATTCACACTGATTTGCAACCAATATCTGGAACTCTTTTTATCTTGCAATACTGAAACTGCTCATTAATCAACTTACTATATCTGCCTCTCCCCAGCCCATGACAACTACCACTCTGCTTTCTCTGTCTCTATGAACTTGGCTACTATAGGTATCTCATAGAAGGAGGATCACACAGTATTCATCTTTTTGTGACTCGGCAAATTCACTTAGTTTAATTTCCTTAATGATAGTTCATGTTGTAGCATGTATCAGAATTTCCTTCCTTTTTAAGACTAATAGTCCATTGAATGTATGCATCACATTGTTTATCCATTTATCCATGAACTGAAACACAAGTTGTTTCCACTTTTTGGCTAGTTTGAATACTGCTATTAAGATGCATGTGCAGCAAATACAGTCATTTTACATGTACTACACACGCTTTACATAAATGAGTAA